GTTCCCCTTGATTCTACTCAAATTAGTGTGATACTGCCTATCCCCTTCCTATTTGTGCCACTTTGTTCTGCAGGAATTTAGTTATCGTTGTTCATTGTAGGCATATGCATCTTCAGAAGCCAAGAGTGGTACTCTGCTTCTGCTTCCCAAGATTCCCTCAACTGGATGAGTATGATTTTAGGAGGAAGTGGTCAGGTGGTGTTTTGGGTAGACAAGATTGTATATCAGAAATAGACTCAAGAAACTGCAAAGTTAGGGACTGGTCTGTTGATTTCTCTGCCGCTTGCGTCAATATTGATAGTTCAAGAATGTCAGTCGATAATCTCTCCCAGCAGAGCAATCCAAATGAGACTGGTAGTCAAACAAATTTCAGAGGGCACTCAGGAGAGAGTGCTGCTGTTGACAGCAGTATTTATACAAGAGCATTGGTTGATACAGCTGGTAGTGCCGGGATAAAGGATTATCATGCCATTGAGATGTGGCAATCTCAAGCAGCTGCAGTAGACCCTGATTTCTTCCATCCAGAACCGTTTATATGTGATGAGGAAGATTCAAATACGGCTTCAAGAAAACACTGCTGGAAGCATGAAGGACCTGTAAATGAGGGCTCTGTTTCCCAAGTTACTGTGAACAAGGAGTCATTAAAAAATCATCATCGAGGAGCAGATAATATTAAGCAGGCTGTTGTCGGGCATCATTGCTTATGCCCCTTTATAAAGCTGAAAAGATAGATAGAGAGGGATACGAGTCAATCATGAAGAAAAGTGCTACCAAAGTTGGTCGTTTTTCATTTTTCCTTCCTGACATACTAAACAGAAAATATACCATGCTTTCCAGTCAAATTTTGTTGCAATTTTGTTGAGCTCAGTTTTGCAACTATTCCTATTGTTTTTATTTACAGTCTTAAATTTTTGGGGAACTCAATTTCAACTGACAAATTTTTGTGCAATTCATATTTTGAAATAAATTTACAGCAAAAATTGTTTCCGTTTCCACTCCGTGGTTCAAGAACTGGTTCACCATTTCTTTCTATAGGCCTACATGGTATCTTTTTCTGTGGTTGTCAATTTGCTTGTCTAGGTTGCAGAGCCTTTGGGAGCAATGGTAGTGGGAGCGCCCTTGGAGGATGCTCGACATCTTGCTCCACGATAAGCTAGAATGCGGCAAGATGCTGAAGCTCAGGTATGTGCAGTTTCTTCACCTTTTTACCAATGTTTTACTACATTGAATTTATATGTTCCATAGGTGAGCTGTTTCTTTTGCTTTTACCATTTCTTGTTGTCCATTTTGAGGGATTCATTCATTGATATATATATATCTATATATATATATATATATATATATATATATATATTATTACTATGACTCATTAAGTGAAACCAAATGCACTATATTGCAGGGCTGATTGAGTAAAAATGAAATTTCAACTGACAAATTTTTGTGTCCATTTGATTATTTCGAAATGAATTTACAGCAAAAATTGTTTCCATTTCCATGCCGTGGTTTAAGAACCGGACTACTTTTCTGTGTTTTTATGCATCATATGACAAAATGGTTCACTATTTCTTTCTATAGGTTTACATAGTAACTGTTTCTGTGGTTATCAATTTGCATGTCTAGGTTGCAGAGCCTTTGAGAGCAATGGCTTGTTCTAGTCACAATTATGGTGGGAATGTGATCGTACTGCATGTTATTATTGTATATATATTGCTTGCAGATATATGTATATTGTTGTGTATATTGCATGAGTTACATGACAAAAGTACAATTTAATTTAAGGAAAACTAGTGAAAATAGCTTGAAAATTTTGAGTTTTAACGATAAGGACAAAATAAAGGGTAAAGTGAATAGTACCAAGATTGACTTTTTAGTGTAAAAATATAGTTTTTCGTTAAAGTGAACAGTACTGTAGGCTTTTCGTTAAAACTCCCTTTAATTTAATCCAACTCTGTAAAGATATTGCAAATTAACTCAAAGCGATGGATTCGGAGATGGAAATGATAATCACACGTCGTTTTTCTTGTTATACACATTATTATTTTAAAAGGAAAACTAATGAAAATGATTTAAAAACTTTGAGTTTGAACGATAAGGACAAAATAAAGAGTAAAGTGAATAATATCAGGATTGACTTTTTAGTGTAAAAATATGATTTTTCGTTAAAGTAAACAGTACCATGAGTTTTTTGTTAAAGTTTCCTATTTTAAAATCATCAAATTGAATAAAGCAAACGGATAACGAATACATTTAAATAATCATGTGTGAAAAAAAAATGTGTGTGATTATCATTTCTCGTCAAATATTAAAAAAAACTACTTATAAGTGGTCCTATGGATAAGCTAAGATAGAAATAATAGTACTGCTGTGTAGGATTTATTGATCGAGAAGAGAGCAGTCTGATCAGACGAGCGTGCCATAAGTGGGCGAGAGTGGGGACATTGGAGAAGGCTGTGAAGTGAAGCATGCATGTCGCGCAACTGCCATTTAACCTAATTTTTCCAGCCTAGACTGTAAAAAGTTATAGATCTATACAGCTGGGGACAAAAGTGAGACACAAGGCACACTTCTGTTGAAATGAAGAGGAGCACGATTAGGGTTTTCTTAGAGATCTAGGGTCAAGTGGGGACAAGGTCTAGTTGTCAACAGCAAGACTTGTGAAAAAAATTTTAGAATACATCCGTAAATACATTGTTAAATTTAACAGCTAAATTACGTAACCAGTTTATGTCTATATAAGTAAAAGGTACCACTGTTGACAATCGCCATGCTTCGCACAGCATATGCGCATCGATTTTCGTTCTAACGTTCTAAAATTAGTATACAAATGCATATGGCTGCAGTAGTGATGAGAAAGTTATGGGTCGTCTTGTTTATTGTGACGGCGACTGTTGGTTCGGAAGCTGCCGGTAGTAAGTTAGAAAATGGCATGGCTAATAGTACTCATCACGAGCAAGGCAATAGTTCTTTTTTAGCTGTTGCTGAAATTCCTTCCGCAGGAATTAATGGAGAAGTAAAGAACGTGACTACTTCCTACACAACTGAAGTTGATATCAACAACAAAAAGAAGCAACCTAATTGGATGTCCAGAGGAGGAGGAGGAGGAGGGGGAGGGGGAGGGGGAGGCGGTGGTGGAGGTGGTAATGGGGGTGGAGGTGGAGGCGGAGGAGGCTATGCATGGGGTTGGGGTGGTGGTGGCGGCGGAGGAGGAGGTGGAAAAGGAGGAGGTGGTGGGTGGGGATGGGGCTGAGGAGGAGGAGGGGCAGGGTGGTGGAAATGGGGTTGTGGTGGTGGAAAAGGAAAGGGCCGAGGAGGAAGAGGCGGCAGAAACAGTAACCATGTCTACAGCGGCCGGAAGAGGAGGTTCGACGAGGAAGAGTACGTGATGGGAGAGTTTGCAAAATGCATGCGGAAGGGGCAATGCAAAGGCATGAGATTGGATTGCCCTCTTCACTGCGGGGGGCCTTGCTTCTACGACTGCCAACCCATGTGCAAGGCTCACTGCCGACGACGTCGTACTGGATCATCACTGGCGAATGTTTGATGTTTCCGAATTAATTAAGGCGCCATTAATTTCTAACAGTCACATTAATCCCGAAGCACATATTACCCAATTAGTCGACCGATCGATGATTAAGCACGGCTGATGGATTAAGGGTTTATTATAGTTAAATTGTTCCTTATCTGTTGTTTTTGTTGTTTGTGCTTCCATTCGCCTTTTTTCTGTTTTTTTTTTTTTCTTTTCATTCAACCTTTTTTCGTTGTTCAATTTTATGTGCGCTATGTATATTCTGCATACGTGGTAATGACTCAAGAGAATATCGTTCACTTTATTGTGTGTTTTTTTTATGTCAAATTACGGTCAGCTTTGACTATACAATAAGTGTAATGCTAAAAAGATTATATATTTAAGTTATATTTTGCAAATCATATGACGTAATTGTTAATGTCGGTCCATTTGTTGAAGAGATAAATTTTATGTGCAACCAGTTCTATGATTTGTGTAGAATGTCTAATAAGAAAGATATATAGTGCGGAAACAAATGAAAGGAATATATAAACGGTCCAATTTATTTTGTAAGAGGCAAAGCTGAGAATTGAACCAATCTAGGCCAAATTCCATCTATTCAATTTTTTTTGGGTAATGTTAGGGACACCAAAATTTTTAAACCAAATGATGTGGTTGTAGTCTTGTAGATGATTGGATTAATAACTAAGTGTCAATTAACGTGTTTGTTTTTTATTAATGACACATTATTTGGTTTACAAATTTAGTTTAAAAACTTGATCTCCCTAGCATTACCTTTTTTTTTTGTTCGATTTGATTTTGTTCACTGATGTGCTTGTTCACATGTTAATTTACCCCAACTTGCCATGCAGTTTTGGGCTGTTAGAGTGTCGTGCTCTTTTCTTTAGACTCAAGTTCCAAACTTATTCACCATAAATTATGAGGTCGTTTTTTTTAAACTAAAATCTTGTTTGATAACTATTTTTTTCAAAAAAATGAAAAATGAAATAAAAAACTGAAAGCTAGTTCTTGAGTTTTCAAAATTTGACCTTGAATTTTTACAACTAAAAATTAAAAACGAAATGATTATCAAACAACGCCTAAATTAGACGTATTGTTTTTATGCAATCAGAGTTAAAATAGACTTTCAACAAATTGAAACAAGATTGGGCCGAATAAGTTAGTTCAAAGCTGGGCTTCTTAACGCTACGAGGCCTAACAAGCCCAATGGATCCGCATAAAATTGTTCGTTCTTTTATTTTATTTTTTTTAAGTAAAAGAAAGAGAGCAAAGAACAGCTGTACATAAACTAAGGAATTTTAACGAAAATCATCTAGTACTGTTTGTTTTAACGAAAAATCATATTTTTACACTAAAAAGTTAATCCTGATACTATTCACTTTACTCTTTATTTTGTCCTTATCATTAAAACTCAAAGTTTTCAAACCTTTTTTATTAGTTTTCCTATAAACTAATACTAAAAAGAAAGAAAGAATAAAATGAATAGTAGAAGCTAGCATCTAATTAAAGTTAAAGAAAGAAAGGTAATCGCACCACGACGGCGGCGACGTGGCGGTCAATTAACGGAAAACAACAGACAAATCAGCCTCTAAATTAAGTCTTGAAGCACAACTTTGAAAAATCGTGACTACATATAGCTGAGCTGCAATGGAGGCAATCAGGAAGCTCAGAGATCAGGTCGCCAAGCAACAGCAGGTACTCTCTATCTCTCTCTCTTCGTGTTTGATGGAATTTACATCTGTTTCCGAATTTGTATTTCTGTATGGATTTTGATATGAACATAATCTGCGTTAATTGTGAGATTGCTTATCAGAATTATGATTTTAAAGGTGTGCTATCAATCAATTTAGTTCCAACAATAATAATGATTATAATTGTTGAATCGAAACGAATTGAATCGAATCGAATTTCACCATTTCTGAGCTGTTTGCGGATGTGTTGGAGTATACTGTCGGTGATTTTGTAAAATTTTGAACCAGGTGTGGCTGATTACTTAATCATTTTTCAGGATGTAATGAAATGCTTAATTTTTACGTTTTCCGAAAACTTAAAGCGGAAATGACATCTAATTCAACGTTTTATGCTTCATTGATGCGTAGCTCGAAGGTTTATCGAATTTGCTTTTGATTTATTGTAACACTGTCAGGCTGTATTCAAACAATTTTCTGGTGGCATATTTGGGGGATCAGATAACGTTGCCGCGGATGAAAATGAACAGCATCAGAAAATCGAGAAGTTATACATATCAACTCGTGCTGCCAAGGTTGCTACTCATTTCTGTCTGTTCATTCAGTTATTATGACATCACAATACTTTTGTTACCTTTATCTTAATCTACTTTGTTTTATTTAACAGCATTACCAAAAGGAAATTGTCCGTGGTGTGGAAGGTTATGTTGTTGCCGGTTCAAAGCAAGTTGAAATAGGTGCGTTGCTTGATATGCGTTGCCCTTTTTTTGGGAGTTTGGATATGAATTCGTGTGAGTTTTATCAGTTAGTTTATATAACACTATTTCAACAGGTACCAAATTATCAGAAGATAGCAGGAAATATGGTGCTGAAAAAACTTGCACCAGTGGTAACACATTGTCGAGAGCTGCACTGAGTTTTGGAAGAGCCCGTGCCCAAATGGAAAAGGAGCGTGGACTTCTACTGAAAGCTCTTGGCACACAGGTTTAAATCAAATTTTTGTGTCCATTTGATTATTTCGAAATAAATTTACAGCAAAAAATTGTTTCCATTACCACGCCATGGTTCAAGAACTGGACTACAATTCTGTGTTTTTATGCATCATATGACAAAATGGTTCACCATTTCTTTCTATAGGTTTACATAGTAACTGTTTCTGATGTTATCAAATTGCCTGTCTAGGTTGCAAAGCCTTTGAGAGCAATGGTAATGGGAGCGCCCTTGGGGGATGCTCGACATCTTGCTCAACGATATGCTAGAATGCGGCAAGATGCTGAAGCTCAGGTATGTGCACGGTTTCTTCAGTTTTTTACCAATGTTTTACTACATTGAATTTATATGTTCCATAGTGCCTATATTTTTTCTAGGTGAGCAGCTGTTTCTTTTGCTTGTACCAATTCTTGTTTTACTACATTGATTTTTTATGAAAAATCTTAAGATGTTTCTAATATAAATGAGTTGAGAACCTTTTTTTTTTTTTATTGGTAACTTGGAACTTGTTTTTTTTTTTTACTCCATGAGCTTTGTCTATGTATACTAACTTGCACCTAGATAGGCTATAGATGTTTCCAGACGCCAAGCCAAAGTACGGGAATCTGCAGGTAATGCTGATATTATCGTGAAACTAGAAGCTGCTGAGGCCAAGCTTCAGGAGCTACAGTCTAACGTTGCAATATTGGGAAAAGAAGCTGGTGCAGCAATGGCTGCTGTTGAAGGTCAACAACAAAGATTGACTCTTCAGCGGCTTCTTGTGATGGTAAAGCACTTCCTTTCCCTTCCTGTTGAAGCATTGAGGCTTTGGCCTGTTCTAGTTACAAAAAAAAGGTCGTACCCAGTGCACAAGGCTCCCGCTTTACGCAGGGTCTGGGAGAGGTGAATGTCGGCTAGTTACAAGATTGTCAATTTCCTGTTCTAGTTACAAGATTGAAAGAAAATTAATTTTGTAAGTTTGTCAATTTCCATCTCCATTCAAGGTTGAAGCAGAGCGCAATTATCATCAGAACGTTCTTCAGATACTTGATCACCTTGAAGGCGAGGTATGAAATATCCTGGAATCTTCCTTATCGGCAAGACAATTTTTCCAATTCATTAGGTTGTATATCATTCTAGTCTCTTGCAACTTTAAGCAGTGATGATTGACACTATTTGTTGGGACAGATGTTGTCAGAAAACCAGCGAATTGAAGCATCACCTAGTCCAGCTACAGAGAACTCTATGCCTCCGCCACCATCGTATGAGGATCTCGGACATAGCTTTGCTTCTGAAGCCTATGATGAATTGACAGACACGAGGGACTATTTCTTAGGAGAGGTATCTTTATGCTAAATGTGGTTGTAGCTAAGTTTTCGTATGTTCGACTCTTAGTTTCTAATAATTGCTCCTTTTCGCCTACTGCAGGTTATGTACACGTTTCAAGCTGTAACTGATGTGGAGTTAAGCTTGTCTTTTGGGGATTATGTCGTTGTCCGGAAGGTTCTGCCATCTTTCCAGCTTCATGCTGCCATCTTATATTCATGTGCTGATTTATTTCTCTTGTATTGAGGTTAAATGTTCATGCTCTTGAGCAGGTATCAAACAATGGTTGGGCTGAAGGTGAATGCAAGGGAAAAACCGGTTGGTTCCCTTTTAATTACATCGAAATGCGGGACCGTGCGCTTGCTAGCAAGGTGGCTGTAGTCTTTTAAATCTTTTGGTTTCCTGTTTAGTTGGCTTGTGTTTGTGTTTCTGCTCTGAGATTCTACCTCGTAGCGCATGGATGTTAAAATTGAGAAATTAGGTTCTCGAGTCCCTCATTTTTTTATTTAGGGGAGGGCGTCAGGTAGTCGACAGCCGGCACTCCTCAGCTACGTCGAATCCTTATGAAAATGATTGATTAAAATAGTATGTTTGAGACTTTTTTTCGAGACGTAGTTTGTTTAAGATTTAGTTTTATATGTGTAGTGATCTTAATAGAAAGAAATAATTGAAGGGAAACAAAACCTGTTTTCTTCAAATTCAACAAAACAAGTTTCACGCAATGTTTATCCTACGTTCATTTCGGCTAAAATACTATGAGCTCTTATAGAGAAACAAGCTTTTTTTTTTTAATTTTATCAATGGATGGTGATTTTGAAGTTTTAAATCCTCCAACTAATGTATGGATTTTTTTTTAAATTTTTTTTTGGGGTTGAGAATATGGGTTTTTAAGTTTCAATTCACAACCATCAACGCTAAAATTTTTTTGTTTTTTTTTGTTTTTTCGTTTTAACACTGAAAGTTGAAAAGATGAGTTATTGTATTTCATAGTGTAAATGGTGGCGAAACAATTTGGTTTCCTCGAATCCACTCCATTAGCATGGATGAAAATCTAAGGCTAACCTAAAGAAATAAGGGTTTGCTAGAACTTACGAAAGTAAATGAGCATGTTGTTTGCTACCACTCACCTTAAATCATGGAATAATTGAAAATTGGTTCATTGGGAGGCGGCAGGTACCACAACAAAGGGACACCAAAATACAAACAAATTAGCTAGCAACAATAGCCATGGGAGCCATAGTGATGTACGCTGCAGCTCCAGAAATGAGACACATCATCTTAAGAAATTCTATTAATTTCTACATAGAATTCTATAATAAAAATTATTCAATTGAAATTTTATTTTGTAAATGGATGTAAAGAAAAATTTATACGTTAAATTGAGTTTGTGAGGGTAGACCTGGCATTTCAAACCCGACTTGTTAACCCGATTCGACCTGACCCGTTAAAATGAGTATTCGGGTGAGTGTTTAATGGGTCGGGTGGTTAACAGGTCAACCCGTTAAGCACCCGTTAAATAATAGATTATTTCGGATGAACCTGCGAAACCTGTTAACCATCTGTTAACACCCGTTATTAAGGGCTTTTGTGTAATTTCAGTAGTCAATAATGAAAACCCTAAACTGAGTCTCTCTCACATTGCACTATCGCACTGCACAGTGCACGCCGTCTCTGAGCTTCCGGTAAGCTCCGATTCAATTCCACCTCTTCTTCCATGGCGATTACTAGGGTTTTTGTGTGATTGGATTGGAGATTTGGCGAGCAACCCCCACCCCCCGTCTCTGATTTTCGTCGCCCTCTGGATCTCTCACCCTCCTTCTCACAGCTCTCTCCGGTGAGTTTCTTTTGGTATTTGTGGGTGATTTATTTATTTATTTTTGTGTTAAATCATTAATTTGTTTGTGAAAATTGATCTGGATAGCTGATTAAATTAATGGAAAGCTATTCTTTACTGGGTTGGGTCTTGGGTGTTTTTCTTATGCTTAACTGTTAGGGACAACGATGGTGATTGCATTCTGCACAAGTTCTTTTGGAACAAAGAGAACCCAGAATTTGATCAGCACTCCATTGTCCGTTACTGAGGGCTAATTTTTTTTTAAGGTTTAACGGGTGAAATGGGTTAAAACAGGTGAACTGTTAGCTTAGCGGTTTAGATTCGGATGATCCGTTAGCTTAACAGGTTGAGTTCGGATGATCTGTTAAATTAACAGGTCGGGTTCAACCTGACCTAAATCCAGTAAACCCAACCCGTTTACAGGTCTATATGAGGGTAAATTAGGTAGTAAACTTAGGTTTAAATAGAATTAGTATTTTAGTTAAAAATAATATGGGGATAGATAATAAGTTATGTGTAGAAAGAAATTATAAAATTTCAAATAAAATTTCTCTTATATAATTAATTTGAGATTGCATCAGGGTTATCATGAACCCTATTTACACGATGACTTTGAAGTTCAACCAATACAAATATCTGATAAAACACACTTTCAAATATACAAACATAACTAGACCTATCCGGAACGCATTAGACATTCTCTCCGCGTGAGAGGTTTTCCCTTTTTTACAATGAGGGTTCCTTCTCGCCTGTGTGCGCAGTAGTTTCCCAGTCCTTCATCCCCCTCAGCCGCCGGCCCTAGCTGAGGCTAGAGTCGGTGGCTCTCTTCTTCCCCTAGTTCATTTTTCTTTTTCTAGTTGTTAGCTTCTTTCCCTGCGCTTTCCGCTGGGCATCTCCCTGTGTTTTCAATTCCCAATCCTCACCTATCAAATTTGACTCCCTTTCCCCCGTTCAAAACCTAATCCATCAGTTTCGATCCCCTTTCCCATCCTCCACCTTCATGTTTTTACTCCTGTCTCTTCCTATCTTTCCCTCCACCCCACATATCTGCAGTCACTTTCCTTCAACGCGTTTTGACGCGATTCACTCGGGAAGTGCGTAGAGTTCCGGCGCAGGGGTTTACACCACCACCTTCGGGAAGTGCGTTTTGCTCCGGCTCGGGTGTTCACACCACCGCCTCCCACGGATTTGTCTTCGGTGGCTTTTTTTTCCTTCGGTGACTTTGTTGCTGGTGGGTTATTTCTCACTAGCTTTCTTTGGTTTGTGGTTGCTGTGCCGTTCTATGTGGTGCTTTGTGGTTGTTGTTGAAGTCGTTGTTTCTATCATTTTTGCGGATTTGGATGGCTGGTTTTATGTTTCCTGGCGATGCTTCGGCGGCGGCAGCTCTTCCAGGATTGTAGGTTTTTTTGTTTCTTGGGCTCGAAACTTTGTTTTGGGGGTCCATATTGGGCCTCTTCTGTTGTAATTAAGCTGGGTTGGAAATAAATTTGACAAAAAAAAAACCTACTCCTTGGATAAGGATTGCACTGCCAACTGAAGAGTCCAAATGTGAGATGAATTCTCGTTGAGTCTGACTAGGTCTAACAGTAGCTTCTCTGGTTCCCAATTTCCTAATGGGTATAATTACAGGAGCTGGAATCATGGTAATGAGATACATTTATGGCGCGTTTACTAATCCGTAATCAGATTGAGAGGAATTGAATTGAGAATGAATTGGATTGAGGAGGAATTGGAATGAGGTGGAATCAGAATTAGATTTATGTTAAAGTTGTTTACCAAAACTGACTGAAATCGGAGTATAAATGACATTGATCGATATAAGCGGTTTACTAATTCATAAGAATCGGAATAAAGCTTAATGTAATTACTAAAGTACCCCTGTTTAACTAATATATTTATATGCTAATTATTTTTAGTAAAACTTTTACTCTTCCATTTTTTTAATTTTTTAGAAAGAATAATTTTTTTTTATTTTTTAGTAAAACTCTTGGCACAAATTTAATATGAAAGAATATTTTTTATTTGCTTCTACATGTTAAAGAAGACTCTTAATCACCCTAAACTTTATTAAAAATATCAACATAAAGTAAACTTCATAACAATTACTTCCTCTTCTCTCTCTCCCTCTCCCCAATCTTTCTTAGCAGCTGTGTCTCCTCCCTCCTCTCCTCCCCCATCCTCTTCTCTCTCACCCACTGGGGCAACCCCAAGAGATGCCGATGAAAGAGCCCACCTCGGATACGGAAGGAAGGTATGGAGATTGTGCTGCTAGAACCAAGGTGCGAAGCACCGAACCAAAGCCGAATAACTCCCTCCCCCCAATCTTTCTTAGCCAGCCGTCTCTCCTCCCTCCTCTCCTCCCCCATCCTCTTCTCTCTCACCCTCCACCGCCTCAACTCTCCCCCACACCCACAAGATTGTCCTCATCGCCAACCACGTTATGCTCCCCCTCTTATTATGCGAAGTAGATCAGCACAACCCGCAAGGGCTGCAAATCAGTTATTCGCCACCAACGGCAACCCATTCCACCATCTCAGTCTTCGAAGCCCATCCGGGCACAAAATCATCCAGAACCTTGAAGGGGTAGGTAGGAGATACGGGGGTAGTTTGGGTATAAAGGTTGGATTCCTGAAGAGTCTTCTCCCCGGAATCCAAATACCACCTCTATCTGGGGGATCCAATTCCGGAAGATTAAGGAAATCGATTCCGGATTTTAAGTGAGTCCCACTTACTTTTTCATTCCCTAAAGGTTAGTAAATGTGAGAATGCGATTCCTTTTCTTTTCATTCCATTCCTGATTGGGAATACGCCATTAAATATTAGGAAAACTAATGAAATGGTTTGAAAATTTTGAGTTTTAATGATAAGGCCAAAATAAAGGGTAAAGTGAATTGTACATTATTGACTTTTTAGTGTAAAAATGTGATTTTTCGTTAAAATGAACATGAGCTTTTCGTTAAAATTCCCTTAAATATTTGATAAGCTTCCTTTTCTCTTTCCCATCATGTATATCGTTCCCGGTGTCTCCTCAATTAAATGGTTGTGCATGCAGAGCATCTTGATGATGACCTCGGGTTTCTTGCTTGCTACCAGATCGTTCCTGGTGTCATCTTGTCCTAGATTTGATTTGGAGCATGAGACTAGAGAAGAGGAAGAAAGGTAAATAGTCGGCGTTCACTTTAAGAAATAGTCGATGTTTATTTTTTATGTTGGGCTTCTCCTTATGATTCTGCAAATTTCTCATGACTCAACAGGAGCATGATTCGCGAAAGTGAGTACGTTGAATTTACCTCCTCCGCAGCACAAAGTTTACCCGAACAACTTGTTTGAGGATAAGGAGGTCCCTCAGGAAGCAACAACATGAAAAATTAAAGCTTGAGGAATGGGAGAGCCGGAGGACTCGGAATCAGATTTACCCTTTGTTGTTACATAAGGAGTGGCTTAGGCAATCATTCAAGGATTTACCTCCCCCGCTGAGCGATGGTTATCCAAAGAACCTAGGAACAAACCTCAATGGCTGGTATGCTTTTGCATTTGGTTTGTTGTTGTACTTTGAGATATTAGATCCCTGTAGTTTTTCGTAAACATGAAATAATATAAATGGCATTCACATGCACACAGTTATCATATAAACACATACCAATGTTAGCAAGAGATACTAGCTTAGGCGCTCAATCTGTCACTGTTTTTTCGTCAAACCACATATCCACCATTTTAATTTGCTTGTACTTGTGCATTTTCAAGGCTGTTTTTTTCCATCCAATTATGAAATTGCCATTGAAAGTTCATATTTCCTGCGATGTCACAATCAAACATTTCATCCTCACTTACAAGTTCTTGCATGAGTTTGGAAGTTTTACTTTCTAAAAGTCTTTTTATTTATTTATTTATTTATTTTATATGTTGTATGTTGTGATTCTCCTTATGATTCTACAAATTTCCCTTGAACTGCTGTCATGAGGAAGAGATGAAAGAAAGAATGCTTAAAGTAGCTTTGAGACCCCAGGTAGGCCAAGCATATTTGAAGAAAGTGACTGAATTTGTGATGACGGAATCCAAAAACAGAGAGGCAGAAGTGGTTTTGGAAGGTCTTTTGGATGCAATGGATTGGTATTCTGACAATCAACAAGAGACTGCCAGATCAGCCCTTCATGTGGTAATGCAGAACTTAATGTTGCATAAGAAGCTTGAGAAATGGGGAGAGCTAGAAGACTTCGAGTCCTTATAGGATTCGGAATCAGATTGACCGCCTTGATGTTGCATAAGAAGTGGCTTAGGCAATCATTCAAGGATTTACCTCCCCCGCTGAGGCAAGAGTTGGTGAATCGGGAGGAGGAGCTGAAAGGAAGACAAATGTTAAAGCTCAAAGAAGTGACATCTCCTTTAACAACCTAGATGACTGAGAAGACAAATGTGTCTGAAGTTATAGACACTATGAAACAGCTTGTTAAGAACGCTAAATTAGCTGATGTTGAAGTTGTGGGAAATAGTATTAGAGCAGGCGCAGAAAGCCAGCGAAGTTATTCGCCAAGTATACGATTTCAACTTATTAGTTTGTCTTCATTCTTATGCCTTAATATTTCTAAGTTTGGTCCTTGTACTTTGAGATATTGGATCCCTATAGTTTTCCGTAAACATTAAAAAATATAAATGTCATTCACATGCACACAGTGATCATATAAACACAAACCAATGCTAGCAAGACTTTGAGAAAGTAAAACTTCCAAACTCCTATGCAAGAACTTTTCAATAAGGATGAAATGTTTGATTGTGACATCGCATGAAATATGAACTTTCAGTGGCAATTTCATAATTGGATGGAAAAACGTACAAGCAAATTAAAATGGTGGACATGTGGTTTGACAAACATCCAGTGACAGATTAAGGGTCTGAGCTAGTAGCATTGGTTTGTGTTTATATGATCACTGTGTGCATGTGAATGCCTTTTATATTTTTTAATGTTTACTGAAAACTATAGGGATCTAATATCCCAAAGTACAAGGACCAAACTTGGAAATACTAAGGTATAAGAATGAAGACAAACTAATAAGTTGAAAAACTTGGCGAGTAACTTCGCTGGCTTTCCGCGCCTGCTCTAATACTATTTCCCATAACTTCAACATCAGCTAATTTGACATTCTTAATAAGCTGTTTCATAGTGTCTATAACTTCAGACACATTTGTCTTCTCAGTCATCTAGGTTGTTAAAGGAGATGTCACTTTCTTGAGCTTTAACATTTGTCTTCCTTTCAGCTCCTCCTCCCGATTCATCAACGCTTGCCTCAGTGGGGGAGGTAAATCCTTGAATGATTGACTAAGCCACTTCTTATGCAACATCAAGAGGGTCAATCTGATTCCGAATCCTACAAGGACTCGGAGTCTTCCAGCTCTCCCCATTTCTCAAGCTTCCTCAAGAACAACTTGTTTTTTCTTGTCAATTTGTATGCATAGAAAGCGGCCAGCAAAATAAGAATCAGAGATGAGAGCCAACCACCGCTTGCACACACGCTTATTTCGACGAGCGTATTTGTAAGGAAGTCGGCAAAGGATTTCAACCAATACGCCATCAGGCAGATTATTGATGAGGAATTTTGATGACAACTGCTCATCAGATTCAGAAGATCCCATGGCCGCAGCCGCAAGAATTGACGACCAACTGCAATTCTAATATGCAACCCAACACTGAATCTCTCCTACTTACATGCAGCGAATCCGAAACCTAATAGAAATAGGAAATCTATAAAAGTTCTAATAAGAATCCAACAGTGAATATGTCCTACTTATTTATATCCGTTTTAGTAATTTTCATTAAATCTGACCAAAATATATAAAAGATTGGGGTGTATTCAATTAGGATTTTGAGAGATTTTAATTCTATTAATGAATATAAGGGTATTCAATCAGGATTTTAAGTGATAATCTGAAATTTAAGGTGTATTCGATTAGAATTTTAAGATAGTTTATTAAAATTCTTAGAAATCCGAGTGTATTCAATTATGATTTTAAAGAAGTTTATAACATTTCAGGTGTATTCAATTAGAAATTGATTTTAAATAATTTGAGAAAGTTGAGGAATTAGAGGGAATTGGAGAGATTTCGTAGTATAATTTAAGCATTCACAAATCTCACCTCTCCCCATGAGATTTCGAGGGAATTGAATCAAAATTTTATATGAAATCTCTACAAATCAAAACTCCATAAAAATCCATAAATTTATAAATTCATTAAAGTATCTCAAATTCTCAATTAAATACACTCTCCAAAATATATATGAGAAAATACATGTGGCAGAAAATGAGACGTCCTCATTGAGGCCCACGGACAACTGTTTGTATAAAACGGTGCCAACAAGGTGAGACACGAGAGTAACAACATTTATTATTTGGGATGTGATATTCACACATTTTATTTTACTTTTCACATACTTTTTTAATTTTCGGCATTCAGATTAGATGAATTGAAGAAGATCAACGGACGTAAATTATCAAAGATGTGTGAGAAGTAAAATGGGGTGTGTGGATAGCACACCCACCCCTATTATTAAACTAACTCCAGTGGAATTACAAAATCCCTCTTTTTTCCACTTTTGTTAATTTATTTCTTGCCAATATTATCCTCGTTTCCAAAGATTTCCATATGCATCTCATCGTATGTTTGTAATTTTTTAGCTAATACATTCAGAGTCAAATCCAACATCTTGACAACGCATGTAGATGTTTAACAAGAGTGAAAAAAAGGAGTTCGTGGATAGTCGAACTTGATATCTTGATTAAAAAGTGAACCACCGGTTTCAAAAGTTGAGCACCTTCCAAATAAGCATGTGCGGCAAATAGGGCTATAGTCGTTCAAATTGACTGGGAACACAATTTAAACACGTACGCCCAATTTTTCAAGATGCGACTGTGCTAGTAGGGTTAGGATTTGGGCGGTGGGTAAAGGTTGAGATTACTAGCTTAGCGACATGAAATCCAAATTATCCTACCCAAATTATCTGAGACAATTAACCGGACCCCACGGCAAAATTACACCATGTAGGGTTTCTTCCCTCATTTGCGCATTCACACATCACATCGATGTTAACCACACTCAGTGATAAGAAGATTTTTTTTATAAAAAAAAAAGCCATGTGTTCAATGTGGGTCCACCAAGAGTTTTATATTTGGACTACCAGTCAAACGGGATCTTCATGCATGGAACCAAATCTCCTCCGGATCCAAAGAAATTGAGCTCACTAATCAATGCATCCGAACCATTGAAATTTGATTCAACGGCTAAAAATAGGAGCCCCTCTAAAAGTTATAATAATTGTAATTGTTAGATCAAATTTCAATAGTCCGGATTCGTTAATTAGTGGGCTCAGTTCCCTTAGATCCATAAGGGATCCGGTTCGTTCATGCATGACTGAACTTCTTGTTCTTTCCTTTGTAACTCGCCATGAAAGGTTGCTGAGATATGAGAAGGGGAAGACGGGGATAAGTAGAATTTGTAGGCTAGGGTTAGGGTTTAGGAAGCGGTGCACATGAGAGAAAACCCTTATATGTATTTGTTGACCCTAAAAACTAACAAGCCTACGTGGTGCGCAAGCCGAGTAATTAATGAGCTAACTACGTATTTCGGTTGTATGTGGGCATGCCAACTTGTCGTGACACACCCCGACCAAGATCAAGGCATGCTGGCCGTCACATAAGAGTGACGTAGCCATGTGCATAGTGCGGAAGCAATAGAGATAAGAAATATACGAATAATTAAAACTGAATTACTAGAGTGCACTACTAAACAGGAAGTCATAGGAGTTAGTTACAACAGTAAACACTTCTAATCAGAGCATAATAAGTCTATGTGCAGTCCAGTAGGACAAGTACTAGTTATACAGTACCAAGAATGTCCTACTATTATTTAGGTAGGACAGAACTGCCGACGTCCTCAAGCCACCAACAGCAAGCTTACTTAAAACCTGAAGGGGTGCAAAACAGCAAATGTGAGTGGGCGAAAACAAATGTTTTACAAAACATTTCATTTATCAATATACTAACCCTTCGCTTTAAAACATGTATAATTTTTCCCAGAATCAAGATATAAACATATACATAATATATATATATATATATATGAGATCATATCAATTCAATTCATGTTTCACATAATTATATTCAAATGTATGCCATGCCAAGATATAACAGAGTAAACAATTCATGTAAGAATAATTTCATAAAAATACGATATGTTAGTCGGAACCCCTAAGGTAGTCTGTACGGCTGATTTCATAGCTCAAAGTTACTCTAGCCGGAGTCACTATAATGATCTATATGGCAACATACTGCACATAAGTCGGAACCACTAAAAAAGGGTTTGTACGACAAGATTGGGTGTAATATAATTATGCTCAATTTTACTCTCTCATAATATAAATCGCTAGTCACCTACGAGTCAGAACCATTAAAAAGGTCTGTACGACAAGACTGTGCACTTAAGTTGGATCCAAAATGAGCATATAGTGCAAGAGGTGACGTAAATAAACAGGCATGTACTTCATATCTCTGGCTAAATCACAATCACCCTAGGTATGAGCTCAACATTATTCAAGCACATATCACATCATCGATGATTCACATAACCAAACATAACTTACCTGAACTTACCTGTGCCTCCACAACATCACATTTATATATATATATATATATATATATGTGCAATCATGAAATGCATATTCAGAATATAAAAGTATTTGGCATATTATTTCAAAGCATACTTTCCTTAAAAATGCATTTCTGGGAAATATATCAAGTATATAAATATATACTGAAAACAAAAGCCCACTCACTGGTATGTCGAAGGGTCGTAGCCCCCGAGTCGCCTGTGGATATGTTCGTTCTTGGGATAAGCCTCACCTATATGTGAATTAACTATAAAAACGTTATTTTAAAGCATATAGGTAAAACTAGCTAATAACTTCTCATGCAAAGCTCAAAATGGGTATATGAATATACCACAGTGACCTACACAACTTCAGGAACATCCCCATATTTTTAGATTAATTTTTGGACCCTTCACGCGCGGCCACGCGCCGGCGAGCGCACAGTAAAACGTGCGGCCACGCGCAGGGAATCCTGACGGATTCCCTAACTGCCGTTAGGAATATTCCATTAAGTCCAACGGTAACCGTCCAAACTAATTGACGGAATATTCCCCTTTCTTCTCTGGTGAGTCGCCGGTCGCCGACGACTTTGCCGGTTTCTGGGTAAAACTTTAAAATCACTATTCTCCTTTGATTCTTCACCATTTTTCATGAAATTGGTACCAAAATGAAGCTAATAACATGTAGAATCACATTATACAAGTTTCAACGCTTAAATTCTACTAGATTTTTCCTAAGAAAGGTCGATAGCTTGGCTTACCTAGAAACACATCGATCTCAGTCCTCCGACGTCCAAATCCTTCCAACGAAGTACCTCTAGACTCGTGAGGACCTCCTTAAGCTTCCTATGTTCTTAGAATTCCTTGAAACACAAGGTTTTACGTGTGCATGAACAATGCACAAAATCGGGGTTAGGGTTTCTCGGGTTTTCGAAACATTCACGTCCAAACAAGGGTATCAATGTACTCAAAAGGTTACAATGAGCAAGAACCTTACCTTTAAAGCTTCAATCCGTGCCTGAAAGGGAAAGTTCAAAGCTTGTCCGTACGAAAGAGGGAAGAGAGAGAGTCCAAGAGATGAGAGAGAGAGAGCACAGGAATGAGAGAGAAGGTAGGTGGGTATGTGTGGTCCAAAAGCCACCAATCATAACTAAGAGAATACTTAGTTCTAATTGGTTCCAAAAAATAGAGGAATATAGCTAATTGGTCCACACTCTTAAGTATAACCCATAGCATCCATAATAATTCTCAATGTCCAAGGGTAATTCCGTCATTCCACATTGTCGAAAATTATATATTTGAGACGGGCTGTGACACGTCGACCGACCTGGGCCGAGGAGTAAAATATATTGATGTTGCATCGGATGCGCTGCTGACTTCTCGATCTTGCGATTGTGGCCGAGGAAAGAACACGTATCGGCCTTCGGGTTCTAGAGTCTGAAGACAAGGCTGTTAGTTCTACGAAGTTCACAAATCGTCGGTGTCGAATTTGGTCACGGTGATTATATTCGTAAGAGTATAAGTACGCCGAATCGACACTAGACTATATGGACACAAGTATTCAAAGCAAATGTACCTTTTAATAGTAAATGTGGTTCGGCCGTCAGAATGTCGAACTCTAAGTCCAACTTGTGAGTATCCAATCACAAAATAACTCGGCGTTCAACGCACCAAGTCTAGTGATTCGTAACACCTCACTTCGCCGAAAATGATCGTAAGATGACCTCTGCCAACCGAGGCTTGGGTAGAAAACCAGTCGGCCTTGACGCAGTGCTGTTTATCCAAACTGAAGGTGTTTCGCAGTCGACTGATTCTACGTCGGCAGTGCTGTTTATCCAAACTGAAGATGTGTTGGCGAAAAAGAAACTAAAAATCTCAAGGTTGTTGAGAGGTTTCGCGTAGAGCGAGGGTTTGCGCATGGCAGTTTGTGTGTTGAGTTGGAGGGCCCTTTTCGTTGTTTGCCGCTTTGTATTTATAGCCAAGTTTCCTTGACCGCCAATCCAAAAGAGTCCTTTCCCGACTATACTCCAAAAATAATATCAAAACAATTGATATTATCTTTAATATATTTCGGCAAAAATCTTCTTAGTCTCCTTATGCTTGTAGACTTATATGCTTGTAGACTTATACTAAAGGAGCAACAAATGTCCTGTTGAAACCCTTTCACATGGCATGCATACTGTGATTCCATCATCAATTCTTATCACTTTAAACTCATTTGACAACACCCATCACCATGCAAAAAGGCCTAGCCTACCTAGGTTTCCTACCACATCATCACATCACCAAAAAAAAAAAAAAAAAAAACCTAGCTTTCCTAGGCTCTCATCATCACCCTAAGCCATCATCTTTTACCAAAAATGTCGCATGCATCTTGAATGCTGATGTTCGTTTTTAATTATCACCATATTTTAAATGGATAATATCCTGACATGCATGCTTCATTATCTGATGCCGTGTATATCTGTCAACCAAAATTGATCTAAACCACATATCCACATCCATATCAATTTGAATTGTGCCGCATGTTTCCAGCTTGGAGATATATTATTTCCATAAGAAAATGTCAAGATAAATCATTATTAAAAGATAATCATGATAAAAGAAACCATAATGTTATCTTTTAACCTTACTAAAATTATCTTCACTTTTCCATCGACAGTGTGGAGGTATGCTTACTCAACGGTCTTGATTACTCGGGGCCGATGGTGTAATTTTAGGTCCAAACACTATCAAACTGTAATTAGTATGTAAAAATACTTGACTGTGGCATGTAGCTGAACAGTGTTGATAAGTAATCATATGATTTGTAATATAATACCATCTAAAAACTAAGTGCTTTTGCAATGAAGTTTTGGAGGCCATATAAGGTTTAATATTTGAGTCATCTTACGCACAAATATTGAAGTTGTATAATGTATACCAAGTCCAAAGATTTTAATTATACCAAGATGAAACCAAACCAACTTTCTAGTTTTGTAAATCAAAGTGACGCTTCGGTTGCCCTTGCCGATACGACTAAAAACTTGTGCCTCAAGACAAAACATGACCAACCTTTTGTGCCCTTCTGTTTTTTTCTGTTTTGGGTCAAATCTGTACTTTTTCTTTGTCAATTGCCTCTCTGCACTTAATTATCTTTCCATGCTTAGCTGACTGTCAACATCTTCATCATCATAACCATATACTTAAAATTTCTCCACCTTCCATTCCCATGTCACATACTCTTTGGTGAAAGAAATGAGTACATGTTTTTGGTTGAATTGTCATGACATGTCGTTCAAAGTTTATTCATGTCATAAGTCTTCTACCATGCATGGTATGTGAATTCATTTTACGTGATGTTACACCATCTTTGTTAGGTCTCCTTACTATAGATCGATGACATATCAATTATGTCATTCATTCAAGTTATATATAACACATGTATCAATAGCATCACATGCTGATATGATCATCACACGCTTCAAATTAATTTTTTCTAAAGTACTCTTGGAGTTCCCGATTCCATACATATTTTGGAAACTGAAAGCAAATATAAAAAACAAAGCACGCTGCAGTTGATATTTACATGGATGTTTGCATTCCGCAATAAGTACAAAGGGGAGAAAGAGAGAGAGAAGGGAGCTGAAGCTCTCCAACTGGGTTTGTCGAAGCCTTCAAAAGCTCCCTTCATACAAAAGGTGGGACGAAGAGATCGAACTAAACCCACCAAAGAAAATAAACAAAACGAAATCCCAGCGTTAAAATTAACTTCAAAATGATCTAGGGATCGGTTCACGTTAAATGAGTGATTTCCACAAGTCATTTTTCTTTCGTCTGCACACTTTAGACTTAAACGACAAAAATAAACATAAAATGTAGAACGAGAAAATGTGTGCGTAAAATCGCCTCCCCGCTCTAAATGTTCTGTCAGAAAGGTCTGAACCTCTTGGAGCCAACAGATGGAGGACTAATCTGAGGAACCGTGAAGCCGTCATCCATCCACATTCTTCTGTTGCTGGCCTTCATGTTTGTACCCTCCTTTGTCTCTTCGAAGCCAACGAACCCACCGCCCATCTGTGAATATTGATACGGAGGTGCTTGTGATGCCTGTGGGACCCACATCCCCATATTTTCCGACGAGAAAGAGTTCAGATTGCTTTCCGGATAGGTTTCCGAAAACGACAGCATCATATCATTGTCGACCTGCCATAACCAATAAAACAAAATGCAAAATGTCAGATCCAGCAGGCTAATTAACTAATTGATGACAGATTAACAAAACTCAAAGGAGAAGTGATTTCTGCAAACTCATTCTCTCTTATCGTTGTTAGTATGAAATAAATCAAACGAGAATCAAGAGACTTGAAACAAACAGAAGTGTGCAGAAATCATTTTCCGACCCGTATTTGGAAATTTCAGAAAAAAATAGGGAAGAACGAGATCAATCAATGCAAACCTTAGAGAAACCAAACGGGGTATTAGAAAAATCAAGAAAATCCTCAACATGCCAGCCCGGAAGCGTCTCTATCAAGTACTCGGATATGGTACTAGTCGCACCCACCAAATTTCCACCGCCTTTGTCGATTGCAGCGGTTGAAGTTGAATTCTTGACAGAAATAGGAGGTGGGTTTGGATTTGAAATTGCAGGGGAGGCGGCGGAAACAGATTTCTTGGTTGAAGGTTGATGCTTTTTGAGATCGGTAGAGGCGGTTTCAGAACTAGCAGTTGCTACAGTTGGCCGCGGCGGCGAAGATTTGTAGAGGGCGGAGGTGGCGGAGAGCTTAATACCTGTAAGAAGATATCGGTTGTGCTTCCGGGTGTGCTCGTTGGCGTTGTGAATTGGAAGGTCGCACTCCCTGCACAGAATCGCTCTGTCCTGCTGGCAAAACAAGAAGGCTCTTCTCTCCTGTAGATGAAGATTAAGAAACCCAAATCAGAAAATCGAGCGACCATTGTTTAGAGGGTAGAGCCGTAGAGGGAGGATATATACAGTAGCAATCGAGCGCTAACAAGTCAGTAAGCTAATACATACCTGACAGATATCGCAGACGGGGAACTCCTTAGACGAGGGGTGGACGAGAGAGAAACGGTGGTGCTTGGAAACGAGCTTATTGGCGTGGTGGACACGGTGGTCGCAGGCGTCGCAGAGGGCGGCCTCGTCGGCAGTGCAGAACACCGAAGCGTCGTCCTTGTTACACACATCACACTGGATCTTCATCAGTTCTGAACTTCCAGAACAGAAAGAGAAGCTAAATCTAAGGGAAATAGGTAAAGAGGAAAAGGAGGCAGTGGGAGTGGAGGCTCTTTAAAGAAAGCAGAGGATACTTAAAAGAGAACAAATATGAGGAGAGTAAAAAGTACCGGCGAGTAATAAAATATCGACAGGGATACTGGGAAATCTTGGGGAACTATTTATGGTCCTTTCTCTCTCTCCTCTCCCTTTCTCTCTCTAACTTTAACAGAGCGAGAATGGTGGAGTGAGCGAGTAAAAGGAAGATGCTGAGAGGTTAGAAGGGTTGGGAGGTGGTTGCTTTATTAAATGGTTTTGGTCAGTGAATATTTAACAAATTACAGTTGCCCCATTTAGCTGTGAAGTGAGAGTGGGATAAAAGCTCCATATAATTTGGGGTTCGTTTGTTTACTACTTTTAGGTTCCGGTTCAATTGTTTTTCATTTCCGGCTTTGGTAATTGGTTCGTCTTTTGGGCAAGCGTGTGTGTGCGAGGAAGTGACGAAGTCGGGGTAGGGTTAGGGTTAGGGTTATGGCAAAGACCAATGCTAATGTGACTAATGTGATATTGTTTCAAAACTAATATGGCAAAATTAAAATACGTAGTAACTTGTGATACTATGTGCCACTATTACATTGACATTTCTGTTTTGTATGTGTTTTTTACGTACACGAGATCATTTTTATACGATCGAGTATGATTAAAACTATAAAATTTCAAATTTTTGTGTAAATCGCTGAATGAATCACGTCATCATGTTGTTGTACTCAAATTTTTTCTCCCAACAATGGTGCAATTTTCTACTTTTACTTATTTCTCAAATTGCTCTTAATCAATCAATAAATAATTGGTTCATCATGAATTCCAAGTTGAGTAATCACATTTTAGTTTTTATTTAGTCTTTTGATTATAGTAGTTATATGGGACCACCTTATTATACCCATGCTGGCTCGACATTGCATCTGATATCATGTGATCTCCAAATCTTGGAGGAGGGTTTTGTTTATCTGAGCAAGACCTCGAACAGCTATTACTTTCTCACCACTCCAACAATAACAATTAAACATTATCTTATTAAGTAGAGTCGGCTATATGAATCTTATAACGTTTATGCATTCAATTTTTCGTCAATTCTGCTATTAGCTCAAGTACTACTACCCCGCCACTCCACACACTAAAAAAATTAAACGTGGAAATTCATTTAAATTCATCGAAGACTGAATATTAACATGAAATACATACATAGATACATTGTGGTGGTGGGACAACACAAGATCGAGAAGATATCATGTGATCTTACGTCTTCTTCTTCTTATGTCTTTGGTTATTCGAAAAGGAATAAGGATCTTTCATATATATAGTTCATACCCTTATATAATTAGGGGTGGGTTCGGTTTAATTCGGTTCGGTTTTTTGCCAAAACCGAAACCAAACCGAAATTTCGGTTCGGTTCGGTTCGGTTCATTTTTTTTTCAGTTTTTTTCGGTTCAGTTTCGGTTTTTTGTTTTTTTTTTCTTTCAAAAAATGAAAAACATTGAAATTTTAACATATGCAACACAATCATATAATCAAAGACAATGAAAATAAATATTTAAAGTTGAACTAAAATCATCAATCAAGTCTTCCAAAGTCCAAACTAACAACCTCACAACACAAAAATCGTACAAATGACTTAGAAAAGTTAAATTGTATGATGTTGTTCAAAGATCAGGGTTGTTTGCTTGTAACTGCATGTTGACAACTTGATTAGTAAAAGTAATGCGTGGGTGGATTTATTTAGTATGTGTTGGATTCTTTTCCATCACAAATTCCCTAAGTAATCTACCCGAAATAAATGTTTATGGATTCTGTTACATGTTATATAAGAGTAGATTTGGAAAAGAAAGCTGAGACAGAAGTAGACAGTGCTATGGAGATGGATGTAGGTACTTCAGGATGAGGTTTGACTCCGGAACCTTATATGGGGGATAAATAATAGGTTAGGGTTTAAAGTTTTTATAAGACTTTTTTTTAATATTTTGAGCTTAAAGTTTGGCAACACATTGGGTTTAGCACATTTTAACTTACAAATTGGGTTTAGAAAATAATATCCAAAACAAATAATTAAATAAAAAAATTAATTTAATTAATTCGGTTCGGTTCGGTTTGGTTCGGTTTCTAGATCACTAAAACCGAACCGAACCAAAAGAATTCGGTTCGGTTCGGTTTTTTTGTTCGGTTCGGTTTTTTTCGGTTTCGGTTCGGTTTGGTTTTCGGTTTTTTTTCGGTTTTCGGTTTTTTGAACCCACCCCTATATATAATTGATTGCGAAAGTGACCAAATTGAATGTGCTTTTCCTTTGAGGTTGGCATGCATGGAATATATATGGACAGAATAAGCTCAGACATGAATATTAAACTACTGATTGATAGCACTCTTCAATAAGATTGTGTTGGGTGTATAGATACTAATATCTAGTTAGATAAGATCACTAAAATCGTCACTGAAGTTCCTATTAACTAAAAACATTTTCAACTATTTTAAAAACAGTTCAAAATGAGCACTTATTGTGGTGCTACAATATTATTTTATTGTGAAGCACTAAACAATAGAGGTCCATTCCATTATGAAAGCTAACAACTTTTTAGTAAATTGATTATATTTTTTTAATACATACGATATTATATATATATTAAGAGATTGATGAATAAGCTAAAATTCACAATGAACTAACCATAATAATTTAGTTTAAATTCGTTTTTTGAAGAAAATCAAACTTAAGACTTCTCACTTAAGTACAAATGAAAATGAATAAATACCAAACTATAGCGCAAAGTAAATAAAAATAAAACATGGCAAACATCCACTCTAAAAGATTTTTTATGGTTAAAAAGAGGAGGAGGGTCGGATTACATATTTAAATGAAATACAATATTATTAGCCTATTAGGGTTCTGGTAAGTGGAGTATTATACAAAACATATTTTATATTGCCACCAGATCTAGATTATTGTTGAAGTTTCGAGCAATAAGCGAATCTCGAATCCTCTATTATTATTTTTTTATCGGGAATTAAGGATCATGGGACCGCTTCGCTCTTTAAAATTGGGGGATGGGGTGGCTTCAACTTTGTATCTGTGAAATCATGGACGTCTTTATGGTAGGCATGGAAAAGTAGGCCAGACACTGCCTTGAGTCTCGGCTGTCTCGACGGTTGTATTTTGTGTATATGTACATAACGAAGACATCCCCATGCATGTTGCTATCTCCCTTTTCTGGGGGCTAGTACGACTGCTGAAAGCTATTTCTGCACCGCCGACGAACCTTGACCTAACTTTTATCAAGCACCGAACTCGTCCTAATACTGTGCCAGCCCCAATAACTACAATTTGGTTAATTTTGCTTTTTCATTTGGATACAATTCTATGCATCCTTTTCCCCGGAGGTTTTTTATATAGGAACATTTTATCTTTAATTTTATACAATATTTTTCTTCGAATGGCAGTATGGGCAGATACCTGAGAACCCAGTTTACCCTTTGATATTCTAACACCACGAAGAAAATTGAAATTTTTAACTCTAAAACTTGGTAATAAGTCTAAGGGAGTGACCCAACTTACCCTAACCATAGATTAGCCCTAATACACACATGCAAAATCTCATAGTTTTTCGACATGAAAACAACAATTTACATCCTCACACATTATAGATGACAATTTGCCTATAAAAATATGAACATGATTATTGATTAATTACTACTTAATGAATAACTTAGTAGCAAAAGTACATATTCTTTTGGCAAAATTTATATGAAATTCAACTCGTTAAAGTTTGACGGTAAGATATGGTACTTATGACGAGAGGGAATCGGTCACCCAGCAGCATCCTACCTATTTGGGACAAGGAACGATATTCTTTATGTTTTTTTTCTGGAAGAATATGAAGCTTTAGAGGTCTTGAGAATTTGGAGGTTTTTGTGCAAAATTTAGATCGAGGCCCTTCATTTTTTAATACTGTATTTTTTTTGTTATTTTTTTTTTCAATTTGTATCTATAAAATTTAAATACTACAAATTAGAGCACCACTTTGAGTGGATAAGAGTGTTTCCTGTCTTGAAAGGTCTTCAGTTCAAAATATGTTGCATGGTTTTTTGTGTAAAACTTATCAACTTTTTAAGTTAATAAATTTGCAAAACTTAAAAAAATAGCAAAATAGTTCTACAAGAACTCGGGCCATGTACAAGAAGATTGAAGGCCTACACCACTAGAGATGGTGTGGTGATTATTATTATCTTACACATTTAAGTCTATAATAGGTATTTGTTTACATGTAAAGAAACTTTGGGGGCCTTATGAGGTGGCACCTTTTGCACACTCTGCCGGCTCTGTCTATGAGTTTCCAAAAAAAAAATATTATTATTATTATTCTATGATTATTAGTTTGATAATTAAAGTATATAGTGTTTATTGTATAATAGATTATTTGAAAATATCTATCTAATCAAGTAGACTGGAACCCCTTGACAAAGACCTAGCTACATATTAACGCATACTAGCTGGTGGTGGAGTAGAGATTTAAACACAAAACATCGAACGTAGGAATAAATATATTTCACTATTTCAACTCTAGTCTAAAATCCTAGCAAGTAAAAACCAACTTATTAAGAGAGATGGGGATATACTTTTGAGGGAGTCCTTAGCATTTTTCTATAGAGATTCATTATCCATTTTCTGGATTTCACAGTGATCATTGTGCAATTGAAAGTTTAAACATTAGA